CAGAGAAAAAGTGGGGGAGGTTGATGATGGGGAGGACATCAAAGGTTTCTTGAAGAAGGTGAGCTTTGAGCTAAGTCTTGAGGGAAATCAGGGAGGCAAAGGAGAAGAGGAAAGGCATTACTCTAGGCATAGGGAATGGTCAGTGAAAATGCACAGTCATTCAGAGATATCGTGTGCAAAGAATATCAAGAAAGCCAGTGTCACTTGACAATAGACCACATAGAGGGGAGTAAAATGTAATAATACTAGAGCCACTAGAGTTGATTGGGTAGGGGGTGACTTAGTCAAATCTTCACTTTAGGAAGATCTCTTTGGGAGCTCAGTGGAAGATGGATAGTAGTGAACAGACACTTAAGATAGGGAGATCAATCAGAAATCTATTGTAATAGTTCAGGTATGAAATGATGAGGACCTGCACCAGCATGGCAGCTATGTGAGTGGAGAGAAGGAGATAATATATATGAGAGATATTGTGAAAATAGAATCAACTAGGATTAGTAGCACATTGGATATTGGGGGGGGTGGTAAGAGAAAGAGAATGGGAAGTAAAGGATGACACCTAGGTTGCAAGCCAGGATGACTAAGAGGATAGTGGATCCCATGTTAGTAGGAAGGAAGTTAGAAAGAGAGAAGAGGTTATAAGAGAAAGATAATGGGTTCTGTATTGAACATGTTGACCTTGAGATATCTATGGGACAACTAGTTCCAGATATCTAAGAAGCAATTGGTAATTCATTACTGGAGATTAGAAGAAAGATTAAGGCCATATAAATATATATAAGAAGCATCTGTATAGAGATGATAATTGAATCCATGGGAACTGATGAGATCATGAAGCAAAATAGTATAGAGGGAGAAGATGAGCCCTAAGACCGAGCTTTGAGAGCCCTGCGAAACACTCATGATTAACAGGCATGGCCTGGATGAAGATACAGCAAAAGAGACTGAAAAGGAGAGGTCAGACAGGTAAGAGAAAAATCATGAGAGAACAATGCCATGAAAACCTAGAGAGAAGAAGATGATTGACAGTGTCAAAGATTGCAGAGAGGTCAAGAAGGATGAGGATTGAGAAAAGACCATTAGATGTGGAAACTGAGAGATCATTGGTAACTTTGGAAAGAGCAGCTTCAGTTGAATGATGAGGTCAGAACACAACTATAGAGAGTTAAGAAAAGAATGAGAGGAAAGGAAACAGAGACACCAATTGTAGATAGCCTTCTTAAGGAGTTTAGACATGAAAGTAGAAGACATATAGGATGTTAGCTAGTGGGGATAGTAGGATTAAGTGAGTTTTTTTTTAATTTGGGAAAAATGGGTGTATTTGTAGGCAACAGGGCAGAACTAGTAGATAGGGAGGGACACAAATCATTGACTTTTGCGAACTTAATCCTTGCGCAATTGGACCTCATGGTTTGGTTCTGTATGCATCTCCTTTATTGTACTTATTTATTTCTACTTATATTAGGTTATTTGTGAACGAATTCAGTACAAGTGTTCTCAATGTATTATCAATCAATCTACCAATCAACAAGCATTTATTAAGCACTTGTAACATTCCAAGTACTGTGCCAAGCACTGGGGATATTTAGAAAAGCAAAAATAGTCCTTGCCTTCAAGGAACTTATGTTATAATGGATGAGAATTAGAGGAGGGATGACAACATGTAAATCAGTTCTTATGGCACTAGGAGCTAGGGTTGCCAGGAAAGACCTCTTGGAGGAGAGGGTGCTTATGTGTAGGCTTAAAGGAAGCCAAGGATTCTTAGAGTGGAGGTTATGAGGGGGAGCATTCCAAGCAGGGGGGACAGCACAAAGACAGGGACAGGAAATAGAGTGTTATGCATGAGCGACAGCAAATAGCAATGGTAAAATTCATGAGTAGAATGTAAAAAATGGAATTATATTCTTCTCACTGGCAGGGGTCACATCTTATTCATCTTTGTTTTCTGTTGTAAGTCCTCAATAAATACTTGTTGACTTTATTTGAATTGAAATAGATACATTAAATCCAAGACTGGTTGACTATAAACTGAGATATTGTAGAGAGGAATCACTCATCAGGAATTGATCTCTAAGGTCCTTCATAATTTTGAGGTGCTATGCTTCTATGAATTGAATTATTTAAGCCTCTTGAGGTCATGAACTATGCTTCTTTCATCTCTGTGTTGATAGTATCTGACAGGTAATATGTCCTTTAAAAATATTTGTTGAATTGAATTGCATGTTTGTTTAGTAATTTCCCATTGTATACATAGACCAGAAGATGGCAGCATAACAATAGACCCAACCTTGTTTTGTTTTATTTTTCTTATGACTTTCTTTATGGGATTGTTGGATGCAGATATCTGTCATATTTCCTAGATTTGGCTATAATTGACATTGCATTAGTGAATTGTACAGACCTTATTTTTGTTTTGGATTGACTTTTTGCCCAAAATGCCTTTTGCTATTTTTTCATCTTCATAATCAAAACTCTGTAGTACACCTATAAAGTTTAATGAGATATTTTATTTGATTGTGCCTGTACTTTTCTAAGCAAAATAATTATCCTTTGGTTAGCAAGAAGTGCCTTATTTTTACTTAAAAATAAAACTCCCATTAGCTCCTTTATGCATTTCCTTGTTTAACTGTGAAACTAAGAGCTTCTTTCAGCAAAGAGAATAAGTTTTTGTCCCAAATGGCAGTCCCATAGATTTTGATCACCCTGGATAACCATGTGTTTCCTGTAGATGGTTGGACCTAGAGACAGTTGTCACAGCACATTATCCACCTGATGAGAAGAAAAGGATTTTCTAGGGTCTGAGGAAGTAAAACCTAGAGTGAAAAAACACTTACATAGGATTCCTTGTTCAGTTCCTGGTGCTTAGATACATTAACAGTTTATTTTCCATTGCTGCTGTTTAGTCTTTTCAGTTGTGTCTGACTTTTTGCGACCCCAATTTGGGGTTTTCTTGGCACAGATACTGGAGTGGTTTGCCATTTTCTTCTCCAGCTCATTTTACAGTTGAGGAAACTGAAGCAGAAAGGATTAAGTGACTTATCCAGAGTCACACAACTAGTAAATGTCTGAGGCCATATTTGAACTTGAGAAGATGAATCTTCCTGACTCCAGGCTTAGCATGCTATCCGTTGTGCCAGGTATCCACTCTGCTTATTCTCCATTTTAATGGAGTCAAAATGTGCTGAATCACACATTATGCCAATTCCTCTAGGAATATTCTGTTTTCTGTGAAAATTTAGATCAAGGTAATGCTCATGTTAAGAAAGCGGAGGGATGTGACATGTTTGACCCAGAAAGTTCACCTTTCAACTGATCTCCAAGGTACAGTCATCAACGATTCTTCATTTGTATTCAGTATATATGTAGTCATGACGGATTAGTCTTTTTTAAAAAACCAGTAGTTCATTTGACCTCTCTGGACCTTGTTTTTTCAACTGTAAAATGAAGGACATGGACTGGATGGTTTCTGAGGTCCTTTCCAGCTCTAAATTTATAATCTAATGTTTTCACCCAGCAGCATTGCAAAAAGGGAGAAACAGAAAAGTCATTGGACTTGGAGTAGAGACCTCGGTTAGAAACCTGCTTAAGAAACTCACTGAATGTGACCACCAGGTGAGTAATTTAACCTCTTGGAGCCTCAGGTAAAGTGGGACAGTGATAGCATCTACCTTTTGGGGTTGTTGTGAAGACAAAACAAGATACATATAGCAATTATTTTTCTTGGTTAGATGATTTTTTTTTAAGCTGGGGCCTTTTGCCTTAACCATATATCCCATTATAGCAGTGATTCAAGGAAATTGAGTCTATATTTATTACCTTAGATATACTTTAACTTGTACAAAAGAACATTAGGGAGGGAAATAAAATCCTTTGATATGACATACAACCCCCAAAAGAATGACTTACTCCATTAATTTAATTGCAAAAGATAGGGAAAAGCAACACAAGAGAAAACATAGTTCATAGGATCAGAGGGAGAAAATTCACCTCTTAAGTAAACAAGCACTGGCAGGGTATACATTTGGCTGTTATCCCCAGCCCATACCCCCTTGCTGATCTCTGCCCTAGAGTTCCATCTCCACACTCCGAGAATATTTACTTATGACTGTCCCTCAAACCTGAAACTTTCTCCCTCTTCATCTAATCTTCCTGGATTCCCTGGATTTCTTAAGTCTTTTGATAAAGCTTCATATTCTGTGAGAAGGCTTTCTGGATTCCCCTTAATGCTAATGCTTTTCTTCTGTTGATCATCTTCAATTTATCCTGTATATCTCTTGTTTGTACACAATTGTTTGAATATTGTCTCCCCCATCAGGCTGTAGGCTCATAGAGAAAAAATGCTGTCTTTGCCTTTCAAGATAGCTAGATAGTGCAATGGATAGAGTGCTCCAATTGGAGTTAGGGAGATATGAGTTCAGATCTAACCTTATATAGTTACTAGCTGTGTGACCCTGGGCAAATCACTTAACCTCCATCTACTTCAGTTTCCTCAATTGTAAAATGGGAATAATAAAATCACCTACCTCCCAGGTTGTTATGAGGATCACATAAGATTAATATTTTTAAAGAGCTCAGCATGGTGCCTGGAACATAGTAGGTGCTTAATAAATGTTAGCTAATGGAAAGACTATCATAAATCATTTGGTGGTATTTGGCTCGTTATCGTAGTGTTCTTTATAAATGGTACAGAAATCTCCTGAAATAATTCCCTGTGGTCATTTTAAAAAAAATTAATATTGGGGTCAGCTAGGTGGTGTAGTGGATAGAGGACCTGAATTCAAATCCAGCTTCAGACACATAACACTTACTAGCTGTGTGACCCTGGGCAAGTTACTTAACCCCACTGCCCAACCTCCCCCCAAAAATTAATGATGCATTTTTGGTAGTGACATTTTAGACTAGTTAGATTAAGATGATCAAAAAATGAAAAATCTAGACTCATGTTTGGCTTCCATATTATAGGATACTTTATTGTATTATACCTAATTGAAAATAGCATATTTAGTAGAACATAATACATTTTAAAAAATCTATTATTGAAAAACAGTCAGTAATAACAGGATGGAATTTACTCCCTTTCTAGAACTGAAAATGTCTCTTGGCTCTTTGAGACCATGTCTCATTTTTCTCATTTCCTCTTCATTAAGGCTTGTTATTGTAGTCTAAGGTTTAAGAGTCTTTGTCCTTAGTTTCAGAGGTTTATCCAGAATTTTTAGTAGTTTAATGCAGCATCCTGTTGATCCTTCTCATTTAAATACCATCAGCATCATCAGATCAAGGATTCATTCATTCCTTGCTGCAAAGATAAACTATCAGTGTGACTGGCTAAGGAGTCAGCTCTCTGAAGCCATTAGATAAAAATATAAGTGTAAACATTGTTCAGTTTCAAGTAGCTGAATAAATGCTGCCTGGAAGATAAGTCTTTCTTAGGCTTCTCTCTTCCTTTTGCTGCAGTGTTTTAAAATACAAGATTCTGTAATGTCAGGGTAGTGTCGGTCTTGGTTTTCTTAGAACAGAACACATGAAGCTGCCTAATAAGGATTATTTGATGTTGAAGACAAAGGAGAATGAGGTCATGAGGGAAAGGCTAGTGTGCTCAGTCAAGTGTATGAAAGTATAGAGTAAATGTCTACTTACCTACTTGAGCCATTAGGTAGGATTTGGTTTATTTAAAGCAAGAGTCCTTAACCTGGGGTCAAGGGTCTCATGGCTAGATTTCAGGGGCATTGATGAACTTCAATGAAAAAAAATATATATCTTAATTTTCACTAACCTTTAACTGAAAAAGTTGCATTTCCTTTAATTCTGAGCTTAAAAAAAACATTCTCAGAAGAGGTTCATGGGCTTTACTAGACTAACAAGGGGTCCATGACACAAACATATTTTAAAGACCCTGGTTTTAAACAATGGCATCCAAGATTAGCCAGATTATCACAGATATTTAAAGTTGAAGGAGATTTAGATTTATCATCCATTTCAATCCTCTCATTTGAAGATGAGAAAACTGAGGCCCTAGAATGTTGAGTATCTTGCCCAAAATTATGCAACTAAGTAATGGCACAATTGCAACTGGAACCTAAATCTCCCACCTCCAACTCTCAGGTTTTTTTGTTTATGTTATGCTTTGAGCAACAGGGAAATTAAAAATGAACAAATACACACAGAACCTTGGTATATCCTGGAGGAATAGAGATTGAATATCTTCTATTGCCATGGAAAAGGAAACCATTTAAAGTAATAAAATTTCTACTTTTCTCATGTTGTACACATTTCATGATATATGATGTGATAAGAGATCATAGTGCTTGACCCACATAGTAATAGGCACACAATAAATGAATAATAAATTTAATTGTGATATGAGAGTTGTATAAAAGGTGGCTGTATTTTTTTCTGTTCCTTATACTCAGAGAATAATAAAAAACATGTGAATGCAATTAAATATAAATTAAGCATAACTTAAACATAATTTTGAGAAATCTTGACTTCTTGAGAATACACATATGACTTGCATATTCCTTACATAACAATGACAAAGACATTGCATTAGAGGTTAGTTTTTGATTTAATCCAGTCCCGATAACGGGTCACTTTGGTATAGAGTCCAGGCTTGTTTTCTTTTCCACAGCCTATTCCCCAGCTTACTATTCCAATAATGTACCAGAGCCTGTTCTCTGGGATAACCAGCGGTCCTCCAGAATCACCCTAAGGGAATAATAGGAATATTCACAATATTACATAAGATAATTTCAGAAAGGAGTATCAGAAATAATAACAGCTAATATTTATATAGTGCCTTAAGTTTTATAAAGCACTTTACATACATTATCCCATTTAAGCTACACAATAGCCCTGTGAGAATGCATTATAATTATCCTTATTTTACTGAAGGAAAAACTGAGGCTGAGAGAGAATTAAGTGATTTGTCCAGGATAACAGAGTTAGTATCAGTGGTAGAATTCAGACTGAGAACTTGCACTTGCTAAGAACAGCATTCTATCCACTATGCTGCCCAGCCTCCTCCAACAATAGTATCAGTATCATTAGCATCATAAGGGAGAAGGGCAAGCAGTAGATAAACTCCTAATTGAGATATTTATCAGCCTATCCTAATCTTCCCAGCACTACTACTTATTTGATCATTTTGGATCATCTTTATTCTGTGGTTGATCATCCTTTGTTCTTTTAGCTAGAACATAGTGATAATGAGGCTGAGATTTCCTGTTCAGTCTCCAAACTGAATTGAATCCAATCAGCTAGTTTTTCCTTCTTTGGGTCATGAGAAGACAAAAGGGTACAAATATTGCTTCTTTGATTACGTCTTTCCTGAAACTCTGTTCTCCCCTACTCCCAACAGAAGTAATTTCTCCCTTTTCTGAACTTTCATAACAGTATGCCAAACATATAGTGTTTAGTGCATATTGTCATATTGTTGCTATTTACCTACATATGGCTGTCTAACTTGGCCCTTTCTATCTCCTATTGCTGCTTTCTCATTTTTGAGTAATCATTTGCTCCCCAGTTCCAGCTCGTCTAGATTTTCCTGAGCAATAATAGAGTATTGAGAGAAGTCTTCTCTCTAATAGCTTTTGTCTTCCATTTTCCTCCCTCCCTCTGCCATTTCCAGGTTTCATGGAGATTCTTAAAGTGACTTTATCCACAGGTTGATAAGGGCTTTCCTCACTTAGAATGATAATTTATGTGGTTGTCAATTTAAACTTACCTCACAAGCATCTATTTTTCCTGACAAGAATCCTGCACATAGCATTCCTGATGATACAGCTCCACCATACACATCTATTCTGTTACAGACATCATTGCTTATGATTTCCACTTTGGCTTCTCGCAGTTTATTTGAGATTGGACCTAAGAATGAGGGGGAAAAAATTCCTAGTATTTTTCCATTAATGGATTTCCTATCCATTGTTGCATGACTGCTTTATCCCACCTCATGAAATAATATGCTTCTAATGTATAGAGTTCCATTTTTAGGAGGAATCTTAAGGTTGAGTTGAACTTCTGTAACTCCAGGCCTAATGGTCATTTGAAGACCTCAAAATGGGAAGGAAAATATTGTAATCATCTTGCTAGACAAGTACCAATACTTCTTTGAATACTACTTCTACCTACTTTTCTGTTAAAACCTTTTAAAAGGTTTACAAATTTCTTTGCCTATACGCAACTTGCTTTCCCAAAGCACGTAGCTCTATATTCAGAAAGCAGATGGGTGAATTCTGTGGAGCTAATTTTAATTTATTAAAATAGCAACAACAAAACCTTCTGTATTGATTAACACAGAACAGCCTATGTATACTTGAGTGTGTACAACAGATAAGGAGATCCTGCCAGACCCAAAGTTCAAGATTGTGATGTAATAAAGGCCAAACATTCTCCAAGCTTCTCTGTAGCTATTGATCTTGAACCAATTATAAGTCAGGAGTTTTCATTGTTTCTTCAGTAACAAACTTTATATATCACATGCTCATATAGTGTGGGACCTGAAACTCTATAGGCCCAGATTTGAACCTGCCCCTTATCTGAAAGTACTCAAGAGGGCCTTTCAGCATCCATGTTCCTCAAACTTACTTTTTGACTAATCTGGATGGTTTTACCATATCTTTCAAAAAACTCCACTTGTACCTAGGAACTGTGTATGGGGTTGTGCTTTTACTTGGTGATGAGACCACAGACTTATTAGAAAACTATTCATTATAGAATATTTGCTACTAAATGTAGGAGGTTCAGCAGGGGAATTCCCTGACCAATTTGATAAGCTTATGGGCGGTGGGTGGGAAGTGGGAAAGGAAAAGGGGTGACTGTTTGTTTTAGACTTTTTTGTGGTGTCTCATCCATTGGAATAACTTGATAAGTTTGAACTGTTATAAGTCAGAATCTCTGCAATAAGTTGGCCTATAAAAAGTTGCAGAATCAATCATTTCCTCCTTTTTCTCTTTTCTGAGCATAGCTCAGAGACCAGAGACCTAAAAGTGGGCTTTGGTCTCTGGTAAGCGCCTATGTATTGTCATAGTCTCCAGGGTCTGTCTGAACACTCCCACTTCAGCCTTGGAGATGTCAGTCTCTTGATCTAAGAGATAGTAGCATGTAGGGTAGACAGTTACATGGTAGTTGTACATATGATGAATCATTTGTTCGTAGGAGGAGGGATCTGTGTGATGAAATAGTTGTAGCTCCTGAGTCCTAGCAGACTCCCAAGTTAGGAGGGAATTGACAGTGGTAGGAACCTTAAGGTTGTTATTGTGGAATTCTCATCACCTGGCCTGGAAGTGTTAGTGAATCTGCTTTTGAAGTGAACCCATGGAAAGAGAAGAGAATTCTGGTACCAGACTAAGAGAGGTGACCCAGAGACTAGGAAATGTAGTCCCAGGGCTCAAATTTTTGATGTGGGGGCATATTCACCTAGCCCAGTGGTGCAAACAGAATTCCTGAACTGGAACCAAAGCAATGGACCTCTCCTAAATCAAGGTTCTCAGAGATAGGTAAAACTATCCCTCTCCCCCTATGATTCTACCATGGCAACAGGTGGTGAATTCTAGGATACCTGGGGAAGGTACTTGTTGATTGTTGTCCTTTGCTCTCAAAGAGAACCAAAATGACATCCCTGTGTTGGGATAAGACCAATACAACCTTGGAAGGCTCAATCACAGATGGGGCACAACTGGTCCATATGAACATTTAAAGTGGAGGTGTCTCTAAATTTGCACATCATGTTTCTTTTGAGCTACTGCAGTTCTGCTTTGCTCATAAAGCACAGCATCTTCCCTGACACAGGCACACCACGTGGGGATATTCTGTACCAGTGCCTCCCATGTCACACAATCAATTCCAAAGTTCTTCAGTGATACCTTTACAATGTCCTTGTATCACTCCTTCTGACCTCCATGTGAGTACTTGCCTTGTATAAAATAGTCTTTCAGGTAAAAGTATATTTGGCATTTGAGCAACGTGGCCAGCCCATCAGAGTTGCACTCTCTGCAGTAAAGTTTGAGTGTTTGCCAGTTGAAATCGAAGAAGGACCTTGATGTCCACTATTTACCTTGCCAGGTGATCTTCCTCAGACAATTCAAATGGAAATGATTCAGTTTCCTGGCATGGCACTGGTAGACTATCCAGGTTTCACAGGTATACAACAATAAGATCAGCATAATGGCTTTGTAGACCCTCAGTTTTGTAGACAGCCTAATAACTCTTCTCTCCCACACTTTCCTTTGAGCTTCCCAAAAACTGAGCTAGCTTTGCAATGCATGTGTTAACCTCATCATCTATGTGTACATCTCTGGAAAGTATACTGGCAGGGTAAGTGAACTTATCCACAGCATTTAAAGTTTCTCCATTTGCTATAACCAATGGTTCTACATATAGATGGTGTGGTTCTAGCTGGTAGAAAACCTCTGTTTCTTGTTTTTGTCAGGCCAAAATTAAAAAAAACAGCAGAGAATCAATCCATACTTTGTTGCATCTCAGCCTTAGAAGCAGCGTTGAGTACCCGATCAACTGTGAACGAAAAATTGTGCAACCAAGACTCCCTACACTTTAGTCTTGACTTGTAGCCTTTCCAAGTTAAATAATATACCATCAGTGGTAGCTGACCTTGATGTCATTTTTGTCCTTCTTGAAGGTATCTGACAACATCACTGAACACATCATGCTAAAAAGCATAGGAGTAAGCACATAACCCTGCTTCACTGCAGCAGTGACTAAGAAAGCTCAAGAGTATAATCTATTATCCAGAATCAGTGCAAGCATGCCATCATGAAGCTGATGTATAGTACTGATGAACTCTGGGCAATCAAATTTTGCCATGATTTTCTATAAGCCCTCACGACTACCAGTAACAAAGGCCTTGGTCAGATCAATGAATATTATATACAGATTTCTGTTCTGTTCATGACATTTTTCCAGGAGTTGTCAGGCAGCAAACACCATATCAATCATTCCGTAGTCCTTTCTGAAGCCACACTGGCTCTCAGGTAGATGACCATCTTCTGGGTGAAGGATCAGCCTTTTAAGGAGGACTCTGGCAAGAATCTTACCATCAGTGAATGAGAAACCCCACCTGTGATTGTCACAGGACAGCCTATTTCCTTTTCCTTTATAGAAATAGACAATGGAGGCAACTTTGAATTCCTGGCGGAGAACCTCCTCTTGCCATATAACCCAGAAGATTTCAGTCAACTTTTGTTTGAGCAGTAGATCCCCTGCCTTGTAAATCTCAACTGGCATAGAATCAGCATCAGGCTCATTGCCAAAAGAGGAGCCTTGGTGTCTTTGATGTCTAACCAAGCCCTAGGTACTCCACAGCACCTACTTCCACTGCCTTCATGACCCTTGGAGAAAATTGTTTGCATCTACCCATTCTGCCAGGGAAATTCTTCAAATGTTTGGGTTAGACATCACCTAACTCACCAGTGGGTTTGAAGCCCATCAGTTAACCTCAACCTGGTTTAGGTGGCCTGCCAAAATGGTTTGCTGATGTGTGGCTGCTATGGATGCTACAGCTTCTTGGAGCCACAGGTGAGAGTTGAGTGGCAGGTGGACACCAAAGGTGGAATGCAGCCCTGAAAAGGGCTCAATAGCCCTCACACCAGAGGTACTAGTTTCCCCTAAAACCCATATGCCCTCGGGGAATGTACTGCAAGGTGCCCAGATGAGGTCTAGAAGTGGATTAGAGTTCCTGCACTGAGGAAAGTTGTTCAAAAGCCCTAGAATAAGAGGATAAAGATAAAACTCAAGTGGATAAGATTGTCAAATCAAGATCTTGACCCTAAAGGGAGGGATCCCAGAAAGAGATAAAGGTATAGGGGCCAGGTGATTATATTTCTTGGCAGAACTTACAAACTAGGAAGAGAAATGATAGTACTCCTTAGCAATATAGGTTCCCCAGGAGAAAAGAAGAAAGGAAGATCAATTTAAATGAAATACTGAGAATGCTGAAGGGGAGAGGGGCTAAATAAGTTTTTATATGTGGAGTCACTAGCCCAAGGAAAAACAGCAGACTAGTAGTAGCCCATTGTGCAAGAATTTGACTTGGCAGACAAAAGTTAGTTCCCCAGTCATCCACCATCCAGGGAAAGCATAAAGCAAGAGGGAAAAAACTTGTGGAAGGAAACACTATTGTAACCCCGTACATCCTTCCCCTTTCCTTCCCCTTCCCCAGATGAGTGGTGCAATTTCCTGAAGGACATCCTTAAAACGTTACATACATAAAGGTAGATATGACTCCTGGTTGATTGAGAGACCTTTCCCACCTATAAACTAAATGTTTCATATGCCTAATTGTGACTTGCACAGCTTTATAGGTGCAGAGGTCTCTTTTCATGGGAATGGAAGTCATATCTACTATCAAATTAACCAGCAAACAACAATCAAATTTAAATATTGCCTCATGGGACAACTAAATATTTTCTTTGTTCATGAAGATTTGTTGATTTTTGTGGGCTAGTGAAAGCTCTTAAGTCAGTAGCCAAATCACATTATCTTTGTCAAAGTAAATATTAGGTGGGAATATGTAATTTGCTGAGAATCTTACCACTTTCTTTAGACGCTCCCCATCCAGTGACAACCACATTAGACTGGGGCAAAGCTTCAAAAGTGGCTTCTGGAAGACATACAGTTCGGACATCATCTGAAAAAGTAATTGGATTGGACAGAAGTACAACGGCAATGTCATCTTCATGTTTGTGGGAGGCATAATTTTCATGAATGATGATGGACCGTACATTTCGCCTCATCAAGGCAGGCTGTAGAGTTGTTCCAAAAGTAGCAGTCCATAATCGTGGGTTTTTATTGCTGATCATGGAGGAAAAGATCATAGTCAGTGTGTGTCTGGTTTGAGGTTGCATTGAATCTAAAGCATAGATTTGTAATCTGCAAGTCACAATGTAGACAAAATTTTGAAGTTTGACTTTGGTTCTCTCATGTTCAATTTCAAGGTACCTTCTCTTATACCCATCTCACTCTTAGCTAGTTGTCAATAAATTCCTGCTAAAGATAGCTGAAGGCATTTCTAGGAATATCTACATCCTAAAAATAATTCTCAAAGATCAAAAAGTCTTCAATAATCAAAGAAATTAAGTTCTAATGTTGGGATTTTAAGCGATATGGCCTGCAGGCAGTGAGGGAGAAAGAGTTTAAATATGACTGACTCCAGATATAAATGCCTTTAATTTTACAAGGATTTTGTTAGCATAAATAGAACTGAAGAATCAGAAGAGTTTAAAGTTTATTCTTAATCCTCATCATGACCTCCATATCCTTCCCCTCTGTATTCCCTGTGGCCATCATCCCTTCTCTGATTTTACTTCCCTTCCTTCCCAATATTGACCTTGTAGTCAACCAGTTAAATACAACACTAGCCTCTACTCTTTTTATTTAAAATATTCATATTTATACATTTTGAGTTCCAAATTCTCTCCCTCCCTCCAGCCCCTCTCACACTCAATGAGAAGGCAAGCAATCTGATATCAATTATGCATGTGAAATCATGCAAAACTTATATCCATATTAGCCATGTTGCAAAAAAAAAAGCAAGAAAAAGGTAAAAAACATATATTTACTTCAATTTGTACTCAGAGTTCATCAGTTCTCTCTCTGGAGGTGGATAGCAAGTTTCATCATGAGTCCTTCAGAATTATCTTGGATTGATCAAATAACGCTTAAGTCTTTCACAGTTGATCATTGTTTCAATATTGCTATTATATATACAACGATCTCCTGGTTCTATTCACTGTACTCTGATTTAGTTCATATAGTTTTTATGAAATCATCCCCCCTTGTCATTTCTTATAGCGTAATAATATTCCATCACAATCATATGCAAGACAATTCTTTTACTTTTTTTCTAAATTAATTTTCTATCAAACTCCTCAACTTTGCTGTTTTAACTTATCTTCTTTCCTGAAGACTCCCACACTATGCCTCCACTTTTGAGATATAGCATAGAAGGGATGTGGAATCCCACAATGAATGACCTTGATTTTCTCAGCAAAATATGCATTAAGATCCTTTGCTGAGAGAAACTGAGCGGAGCAAAGAGTATTATCTCATTCTGTCCTTTAACTTCAGTTTCTAATGGAGATATGACACTTCTCCTTCCCCAGGCTGACCCCTCTAACTTGTATCCTTAATCCCATTCCCTCCTCTATCCTCAGGCATGATGCCCTGATGCCCCCACAGTCACTTTTCTCTAATATTTAAAATTTTCCATCTACTAGCTCGTTCTCTGATGCCAACAAACATGCCTAGATTCCCTCTATGTTTAAAAACAAACAAAAATCCTTCACTGACTCTATTGTCTTCTCAAGGTGGTGTCCACCTTGTAGTCTGACTTCCAGCCTCATCGTTGAACTAAAACTGGTCCCTCCAAAATTACCATTGAGTTCCTAATCATCAAATCTGATGACCCTTTACAAATCCCCATTCTCAGCCTTTCTGCAGCATCTGATTCTGTTGACCCCCTGGATATTCTCATCTGTCTGGGTTTTCTTGAAACTGCTTCCTTTTGGTTTTTCTCCTAACTCTCTGACTGTTCCTTCTCAGGCTCCTTTGCTGTATAGTCATGTATATCATGCCTGCTGAGTGAGGGCATTCTCTGTACGCCATCACTACTCCATTATATTTCTGTACCATGTTCGTGATTCTTGCCTAAAATTTCTCATCTATGTCCTCCTTCTATCCAAATGGTCTGTAATATGCTTCTATCATAAAATCACTTGTGTTTTCCCTTCATTGCCCTCAACCAAATGCTCTACATAATTCTTTTCCTCTCTGATTCCTAGGTTTTTTTTTCAAATAATAACTACAGCTAACACTTATATAGTTTTTTACTGTATGCCAGGAACTGCGCTAAGTACTTTGCAAATATTATTTCATTTGATTCTCACAACAACCCTGGGAGGTAGGTGCTATTGTTATCCTCTTGGGCAGATGAAAAATCTGGGGCAAATGGAGATTAAGTGATTTGCCCAGGCTTACACAGGTACTCAGTGTCTGAGGTTGGACTTTTGGCTCATCACTCTATCCACTGTGTCACCCAGCTGCCTCACATGAATATCCCTTTCTAATATATAGAGCTATACTCCCTAATCCCTCTTTAACCTATTTTACTTCTTTTTAATAAGGTATTAGCATCCAAAACTATAGTCTAGTTATATATTTCATCCCACCACACCTCAGTAATATCTGTGAGATCATATTGCCTCTTTCCATTAGGACCCTTAGTTCTTGTTTGTTGTCTAAATTATGTGCTTTTCTATATAAATACATGAGGCCATGAGTTTTACTACTGCCTCTTTTCTTGGATTTTATCTCCCGTGAACTTCTGTGTATCATTGCCTCTATTGCTTTTCTTCTTTCTATATAGCTAAATTCTGTGGTATCTATTGTATTTCACCACGTAATTGTCACAGATTTTATGCCAATTTTTTTGCAAAAGATGGTGTGACCATTATGTGAAGCTTTTAAAAGATTATGCCAGTATTACTTAAAAATCATTTATTACTAAACTGTCTTTGGTGCAAGATTAGGTTGCATGGAATAATTGTTAATATATGTTAAAATAGGGAAGATGCAAGTCTTACCATATCATGTGATTTACTCATGGCCTCTTCACCTGCCCACCTACTCCCCTCATGCCTACAGGCTCTTCATTGGGTTGAGTGACAATACCATTAGTACTGCAGTGCTCTAAACAAGCCATGCAAGTTGGCTTTCGGAAATATACTGATCATGTGCATGCACTGAGAATTCTAGACTCATGGCTCTCAACGTGAGAGAGATAAATGCATATCCATGTGCCACTGGTGAATACATTGCTGCTCTGCTTATATCTTCTACACAGTGTGACAAACAGAATTATACCATGTGACGATTATGAGATGAAAAGTTATAAACCAATTTTTGGAATGAAAAAAGCAGGGTGTGATGATTACATGGTGGCAGCAATTATGAAGTGAAATATGGTAAATTGGGGCATATAAATAAGTAGTTTTTTCCCTCCACCAACCTTTTTAGGTTTAATTAGATTTTTAAAACATCTAGTAAAAATGTTTTTATCAGCCTCTGTTAGATATGTTTCAATTCTTGCTAGCAATCTGTTGTCTTTATTCTATATTTCAAACTTGGGTCCAGAAATCCAAATCTTGTTTTCAAACACCACTTTCTTAGCCATCAGTTTACTTCCTAAATTATTGTTTTTTTCCTTCTTTATCTCTTACCTTCAAAGGGCAACAGTGAAGAAAACATACCTTTGCCTCTATGGTCTTTAGTTTCTTGACCAAGATGTCAGTAATTTGCAATACTTTTGCCAGCAAATGCTCATGGATTGATTGATTCATTGAATGGTAAGATAGACTTAATGAAGATTAGAGACTTACTTATTAAAGCAATGAGCTGCAGTCAGCAGCCACTTGTCACTGATCAGAGAAGCACCACAGATATGATGTCTATCCACCTGCAAGCTAGCTTGCCATGGCCAAGACGCCTTCTGTGAGATTGTTCCTCCATTAGAAATTCTTTCAGTGAGAAATGAAGGGTCTGTTCCCAACCCACAACCTATTAAAGGTGGACAAGAATGGTTACTGACAAAGAATTATTCATATATCTGCTTATGTTTTTATAGTATATTAGTAACAGGTACATTCAGATTTAGAATAATAGAATCATAAAATAGACTTGTGAGATCATCTAGTCCAACCATTATATAAATAGGAAATCCCTCAACAACATTTCTGACAATGAACCAGTCTCTGATTAAAAATCTCTAGTGATGAGTAACTCATTATCCCCCCCAAGCAGCTCATTCTCTTTTTGGACAAGTATATCTGTTAGGAAGTTATTTATTATGTTGAGCTGAAATCGGTCTCCCTGGAAAATTCTATTCATGACTTGTAGTCCTGCCCTCTAAAGCCAAGAAGGACATGCCCAATCCCTCTTCTACATGACAATTCTTCAAACATCTCCTATGGAGTCTCCTCTAAGTCTTCTCTTTCCCAGGTTAAGCATCCTCATTTCTTCAGCTAGTTCTATATTGGAATGATTTTCAGGGTCCTCTCTTTCCTAATTGCCCTCTTTCAAATATATTCCAATTTGTCAGTGCCTTTTCAAAAAACATACCACCTAGAACTAGACACAAAAATTTAGGTGTATTTTGATGAGGACAGAGTAAAGAGGGATTTTCATAGAATCACAAAACTCTAGTGCTCCTGGGCCCCTAGAAATTGTCTAATTCATCATCATTTCACAGATAGAGAAACTGAGGCTCCTAAATGTAAAATGAATTGCCTATGATCACACACCTAGTATAAAGGAAATAGAGTACTGGAATCCTCTTCTTGTGATTCAATGCTCAGTGGACTTTACTTTATACTAGGCTCTCTCCTGTTTAGCCTTCCACTCATCTGCCTTAAGATAAACCCTTTTTTGAGTGTCTCATGGCCAGTAATGGTAAGGGACTTATATTCAGGGTCACCTTTGGTACATTAAGATTGATGAGTATATTCTTCCCCTAGCCCCCTCCCTCAAAGAAAATCCTTTTGACATTTATGTTTAAAGTCCTCTTTGAAAAAGTCAGATGTTCCCTTCTTTAAGAAAATCTATCTAAACTCATTTAACAACTAAATTATTGACATTATAAAAGGAGTAATCATAGCATTAATTTAAGAAATGAGTGATTTGAATCTCCTTGTTCATTAAATACACCATTGATTTTTAGAAAATCATTCACATATGATTTATACTCGTAACACATCTCACTTCAGAGAGCCAAAAAATACTCTAGGTGTTCTTTTTGTACATGGTACTTATGTAACCTTTATTTTTTTAAATTTCAGTTGAATTGTATCATTGAATATAGTATATTTTTGACTCATTTCAGACACTAAAAGATATAAATCACCTCTAATACTGATTTTTTAGATATCATGGTGTTCCATGATTCATAGCCATATATTAACACCAAGAGAATACTAGTGTTAAAAAGGAGAGTTTTGTGTCAGGGTACACAATGGGATCATAAAAATACTGCACAATTTCCCCAAAGCAATCCATTCATTTTCTTCTTCCTATATTATTATGAGTCCACCTCATTGTCCATTTGCAGCACTTGTCCAAATATATATACTGATGGACCGACTCATCAAAATAATATATGCATCATGAATTTTTCATCTACTTGGTTTTTCTTTGTGGATTACTAGGATGATCTATTTTGGTTGACTGTATTTCACTGAGGAGACCCTATAGCATCCTGGGTGTAGGTTTAATCAGCACAATCAAATGTGCAAGTAACCGGAGCACCTCATATTGATCTATTTGAACTTTGAGCAGAATATTCTCTATGATAATAATAAAACACCTTTGGCAAGTTTATGCCTCTTTCTTTTAGACTTTCTTATTTTCTGAGGTGATACTGTTTGTAATATTACATGCTTTTCCTCTGTAATATTTTGCAAATAAGTTTTATCTTAAACTGCTTTTGCCTAAAATGTTACATCTTTCTGCTTGGCAAGGAGAACAAGCATTTTTTGGCTAAAGTGATTTGGGAGTACTTTAGTATTTTTGTGGTGATTTAAATTGATATTTATACTCTAAAAACTATATGATTCCTAAATTTCCCCCCCTTTCCCCTTCTTCTGCCAATTTAATTGTAGAGCTAGAAGAATTCCTTACAAAACTGAGAGACATTTATACATATTTCCTTTTTTCTTTTCAGAGGTTGTTATGGCCAAATAATTCATCACCTAGTAGCAAAACCTCTGATTATAAGGCTCTCTGTAATTAGATAGGCTGGTCCCAAGGCAGTGAGTGTAGTCATAGGATTTTAGGATCGTAGCTTTAGAGCTGGAAAGGACCTTAGAAGTCAGAAAGCACATTTTTCAGATGTGAAAACTGAAGACAAGAGAGTCTGTCACTGCCACTGTATTGGTAGCTTTTTTCAGGTTGGTAAAACTTTTTAGAGCTTGTTCTCAATTGGGATAACCTTTTAGAAACCAGAGCCACTCCATTTAATGAGGATTATTTTGTGGATGAATGGGGCTTTTTTGGTTTTGTTTTTTAAAAATGAGCATTCCAAAAATAAATTTCTAGGAGAAAGGCTCCCCCCTACCCCAGTGAAAATTGTATTATTTCATCATTTCTGATGTTTGAGCAAAGTATTGAATATGCAGGTAAGGAAAGTCTAGGACAATTTGTTAAAGTTTTAATCTTTATATTGTGAGTGTTGTGTTAAAAATACTGGACTTACCACTGTTTATATGGTATTCTGCTTCTGCTGTATTGATGACTGAAACAGAAAAATAGAGTAAGACATTTGTTTATTTAGGGCACTATTATGATTGTATTTACTACTTTCAAATATTTTAGCAACATGGCATGAATTTTTAGTACTGAGTTGTGTATGATGGGATGATTCTAAAAAATCAAATTGGATTGGAAAGGGTAAAAAGAATAATTATCTCATAAAAATAAGGTATGAAAGGAAGAACTAATACAGTAGAAACAGGTATGGGTGGAGGGCTGGTAATGTTGGAACCTTACTCTCATTTGGGTTGAAGAAGAAACAAAGTGTACATGTGAAAAAGTTTAAAAGTCTTCTGAACTTCTAGAGAGGTGAGAAAACTGGGGTCCAGGGTGGGGGAAGGACTTTAAAAAAGGTATATAGAAAGATAGGGGGAGAAGATAAGGAAGGGAATTTTAAAGGGTTGGTTAAAATAAGGAATAAGAGGGTAAGGGGAAATGATAAGGTAACAAGGATAGGGTAAAAAGAGAGGCTAAGAAGGAAAATAGTAAAACTAAGATGGAGGGAAATTCACAAATAGCAATACGAGTCATTCCCCAGTTGATAAATGGCCAAAGATTATGAACAGACAATTTTCCAGTGAAGAAATCAAAACAATTTATAGTCATATAAAATGTTCTAAATCATTATTGATTAGAGAAATACAGATTTAAAAAAAAACTTTGAGATATCATTTTACACTTACCAGATTGGCTAAAATGATAGAAGGGAAAGTGACAGATGTTGGAGAAGTTGTGGAAAAATTGTGACACCAATTTGTTGTTTGTAAAATTGTAAAATGATTGAACTATTTTGGAGAGCAATATGGAATTATACCCAAGAGTTATCAAACTACCTATACCCATTGACCCAGCAATACTACTACTCGATCTATTTCCACAGATGATTAGGGAAAAAGAAAAAGAAACTATATGTTCTAAAATGTTTATAACAGGTCTCTTTGTGGTTGCAAAGAACTGGAAATTGCGGGGATGCCCATCAATTGGAGAATGGCTGAATAAGTTGTGGTATATGATTGTGATAGAATACTGCTGTGCTATAAGAAATGAATAGCTCAATGATTTTAGAAAAAACATGAAAATACTTATATGAAATAATGAAGCATGAAATAAGCAGAAAAGAACATTGTATACAATAATAGCAATATTGTTTTAAGAATGACATTGAACAAATGAGTTATTTTTTCTATTATAAATATTCAAATTAATTATAAGAGACATATGAAGAAAGATGCTATCTGTATCCAACTGATAAATAGAATTTTGTATAGAATAATTTTACATGTATATCTACATACACACACATACATCTGTTTGTATCTAATTGTAGACATCTCTAGGGAGGGCGGAAGGAAGAAAAAAAGAAAAAAATACATGATAATTTTGTTGTATATTTGGAAGGAGCAGAAAATCATGCATAGTAGATTTGCAGTTTCATATACCATCATTTTTTTTTTGTACTATGTTATGGAAATGCTTGTTTTATTCCATAAATTAGAAATAAAATTAAAAAACTGTTAGGAATGACAAGAAGTATTTAATGAATTCCTACTATGTTCCAGGAGTAGTGCTAAGCCCTGGGGGTTATAAAGAAAGAAGGCAGAAAAAAATCCCTGCCCTCAAGGAGCTCACCATCTTCTCTTTTTTTTTTGTTTCCCCAGGACTTGGGACAGTGTCTGGCATATAGTAGGTGCTTAATCCATGCTTATTTGACTAGACATTTGGTAATAATAACTAGCATTTATATATCACTTTAAGGTTTTCAAAGTAATTTCATACATTATCTTATTTAATTCACAAAACAACCCTGTAATGTAGCTGTTATTATTACCCCCAATTTACAAAAGAGGAAACTGAGGCTAAAAGATATTAAATGCCTTGCTCATGACACACAGTTAGTAAAGGATTGAGGCAGGATTCAAAAACAATCTCTCTTTAAAGATAGATACATATAGTTATTCTCCATAAATACATGTGTGTTTATGAACATATGTACATGTGCATGCATACATGTGTTCCTGTGTGTATGTGTACGTATACCCATGGTGTGTGTATGTATGTGTTTGTATGTGTATATATGTGTGTATACTATATGTACATATATACATATATACATTCATATACATACATATACACACACACATATATACATACATATACATGATAGAAGGGAAGCTCATTGAGGACAGGAATGCTTTCACTTTTGTCTTTGTATTTCCAGCTCACAAAAGAAAAAATAATGTAAAACATGATAGTCAAGGAGAAAGAACAAACACTATCAAAGAGAAGAATGCAGACAAGATATTATGAGGACCTTAAAAATTACCAAGTATAGAATCTGACTTCTATCCTGAATTAAGACAAAAAGGATGGTGTTTGGGGTTATATAGTGTTGATTGTTCAATAAAAGAAATTTTATTCATCTTGAGAAAAAAAACTTTTCCTGAAACTCAACTCAAAGAGTTTTTCACTTGAATCCTATATAAGAGACATTGGTGGGTAGGAGGTATAATGAGTCAAGCTATTCTTTTAAAATAAAGGCATTACAGGAGGCAGAAGTAAGATGGTAGAGTAGAGGCAGCAGCTCAGCCAAACGTTCTACATTCCATTCCAAACAACTTTAAAATCATGTCTCAAATCAAATTTAGGAGTGGTGGAGCCAACAAAAGGTCAGGGTGAGACATTTTTCCATCCTAAGACAATTTAGGAGATTGGCAGAAGTCTGTGACACCAGGGTTGAAGCCACTCACTGTTGGCATCACCAGCAGTGGGCCTTGGAGATGGCGACAGCAGCAGCAGCAATATCGAGAGCTCTCAGCCCAGAGATGGTAATGGGTTTGAGCAATGGTTCACAAAGAGATTATGAGGGAACCTTTGAAGGCACTAGATGTAGGACCTGGCACTGTTTGGCAACTGTATTGCTAAATATAGTTCTAGGTATCAGTTTCAGGGCAGAGAGTAACACTTGTGGTCAGTCATAAGGAGATAATCAGGGAAACTACATTTTGCTAAAAGGTATCATTGAGAATGAAGTAATATGAAATATTTTTAGAGCAAGTTTGCTTGGTAAAGGTCTCATTCCTCAAATAAATAGGGAACTGAATCAAATTAATAAAAATAAGAGCCATTCCCCACTTGAGAAATAGTCAAAGGATATAAACAGTTGGTTTTCAGAAGAAATAAAATCTTTCTATAGTTATATGAAAAAATTCTCTAAATCATTATTGACTAGAAAAATACATATTAAAACAACTCTGAGATACCACCTCATACCTATCAGAATTGAAAAATGCTGAAGGGAATGTGGGAAAATAGGTACATTAATAAAGTATTGGTAGAGTTGTGAACTGGTCCTACTATTCTGGTGAAAAATTTGGAACTATGCTTAAAGGGCTATAAAACTGCGCATACCCTTTGACTCACAATATGACTACTAGGCCTATATCCCAAAGAGATCAAAGAAAAAGGAAAAGGACTTATAGGTATAAAAAAATTTTATAGTAATTCTTTTTGCAGTAACAAAGAATTGGAAATTGAGAGGATGCCCACCAATTAGGGAATGACTGAATAAGTTGTGGTGTATAATTGTGAAATTATAAGGAGCATGCTTTCATAAAAATCTGGCAAGACCTATGTGAACTGATGCAAAGTGAAGTGAGCAGAACCAGGACAGCAATGTACTTAGTAACAGCAATATTGTAATGATAAACTGTGAAAGACTTAACTACTCTGATCAATACTATGATCCAAGACAATTCCAAAGATCTCATGATAAAAAATGTTACCCATCCTCAGAGAGAAAACTAATGAAATCTCAGTGCAAATTGAAGCATAATTTTCTCACTTTATTTTTCTTGCTTTTTTGTGATATGGCTAATATGGAAATGTTTTTCATGATTTCACATGTATAATTGATATTGAATTTCTTGCCTTCTCAGTGGTGGGTAGGGGTTGCAGGGAGCTAGAAAATCTTGAACTCAAAATTTTAAAAAGAATGTTAAAAAAATAATAAATTAAAAAATAAAACACATTTCAATAGGGACATAAGTTTTGGGAGTCTAGGTTTTAGGATGCTCTAGGATTCTCTTTCATTTTTAGTTGTAGCATTAATAGTGCTCAAAAATGGGCAGAGCACAGAACTGGTTCCAACCTCTGATCTTTGCATTATTTTTTTACTGTCTGATCTCAACCAAGTCTATGACTCAGTTTCTTCCCCCTTTGCAAGTGAGATAATAATATGCCTACTCTATTCACCAGAAGTGGTTTGATAAACAAATAATAAGAGAAAAATTACTAGGCACTGGAAATATTTTGACAACTTTACAATCAGATTTCTCTGTTTGACAACTTGTGTGTTAAATGTTCTAATAAAATATGGCAACTTCAAATTAATTTGGAAGGGTGGTAGTGATAACAATCTTGAAATTTAATGAACCATCTTCAATATCATACTCCAAACATTTATCAGCTATTTATGCTGTTGTGGCTGATAAGGTAGTTCTCTGTGTTTACCATGTTATCAGGAATAGACACCTTCCTTTTCCTGATGGTGGCTTCTCTGGCCATCCCTGTCCTGTCTGGGAGGAACAAATCTACTATAACAAAATTGTAGCCCTATTCAATCTATGCCCCAAGCACCAACTTCTGCTTCCCTTTACTATTCCACGGTTCTGTCTAGGATGAAAGGGAAGACGGGTAAGATGGGGAGAGAGCAGGAGAGGGTGGTGAAGGACAGAGGCAGTAGTAGGTGGGTGAATTGGCGCAAAGGGAAAAGGAGAGGTGTTTATTTGGTTTGCTTTTGGCACAGTGCATTTTCCTAAGCAGCTCTTGAATATTATCCCAGAGGGAAGAAATGTTTTATATCCTATGTTTCATGTGCTTCAAAGTGATAAAGAGACCGTAAATGGTTGGAGGGTAATCTTCAGGCCCAAAATGACCCAAGTGCAAGTCCAGCCTCTGATGCCCATTGGCTCTGTGACTCCAGACAACTCACAGAAGCTCTCAGTGCCTCAGGAAGCCTTCTAAGATTATACATTGCAGGCTAGGTGGCAATCTGCACTGGTCAAAGGTAGTTTCTTCATAGAGAATTAATTACCTTTCCCAATGAGATCACAGGTTTGATCTTAAAAGAAAATTGTGCTGCTATTAATAGGATCATACATTTAGAACTGGAAGGAAATTAAGAGGTCATTTAGTCATTCATTTTACATATGAGGAAATTGAAACTTAAGGAGACAAAATGACTTCCCCAAGGTCACACAGGTAGTAAGTGATAGGATTAAAACTCATGGTCTCTGACCCAAATTCTACAGTCTTCCCTCTATACCATTTTATTTCCTTCTACAACAACTAGAGAAGAATTTATTAAAATTCTTTATGGGGCAGTAGAAAGAGAACTGGCTTTAGAGACAGAGGACTTGGATTTAAACCAAGCTTAACCAAATGACTTCAATTCTCTGGGCCTCAGTTTCTTAATCTATAAAATGAGAGGTTGGACTTGTGCATGCTGTCAAATGTTTAACAACCAACTCTCAAAAAATATTAGCACAAAATAATTTAAAGTTTAATCTGCATTTTTAACATTTTCTCTATCACTTTCTCAAGTCTAGACAATCGTCCAATCCCATTAAGCCCTTGATTTGTAGCTTCTGCCAATTTTCTAGGTGTAAATACTCAAACTGAAAATTTAATGATCAGTTCTTGAGAGCCAGTTAGAGCTGGTTTCAAAACATCTTGGCTTGAACTAGATTGATAGCTGAGGTCCCTCTCAGCTCCAAATCTACCATCCAATCATCTTACTATGTGCAAGGCAGCATGTTAGGTTCTGGGAATTCAAAACTGAGAAACAATGTAGTCTCAACCCTCGTGAAGTTTGCAGTGCACTTAAGGGGAGAGGATGTGTGCACAAACACATGCTCAAGGCAGAATTGTATGAGGATAAAAGGAAGAGTCAGAGAAAATATTCTAGGAAAATATGAAGAGGGAGAGGGTGGTTGCACTTGTGGAGGGAAGGGAAGCACTGAAAGAGGTGAATCAGAGAAGACTTTAGCGAAGAGGGTGGCACTTGAACTGAGCCTTGAAAGCAGAGAAGGATTTCCTTCTGTGATAATATTTGTAAAAGCATTTGGCACAGTGCCTGGTGCATAGTACGTGCTTAATAAACGCTTATTTTCTTCCCTCCTCCTCAATCACTTCTAAAGTAATTGAGGAACATAAAATTGTCTGTACATATTGTGTGAGACCTAATTCACACTCAAATAGATGACAAGTTAAAAACATTTTAAAAACCTCTCATTTTATAAGAGTGCAGAAGTGAAATTATGATGGAAAAGAAATGTAAGGGTTAATGAGGAAAAAAAACAAGAGGCCTAGTAGATTGATATGAAAGAAAATGCTCCTTGCCTTGAAGATGAGGTGAAGAACCATCTACTTCGAAGAAGTGTGTGCCATCTTTTAAGTTCTGATGCAAAATCTTCTCGGCCATCTTTTTTATTTTGTTTTCATTATCAACAGAGGCAAATTGAAATTTAAGCAATACTTCTGCTTTCAGACCATCAGTGCTTGATCTGAAAATTGACAACAGCAAAAAAGGTTAAGTAAGAATGCAAGCATGACAATTTCTTTAAATTTTTCCTTATTTATCAGAAATTACATTCTCGGAAAACCATAGCTTATGATCCTGGCAAGAGTTGTTTTTAGTTACTTTTTTTTACCCTCTCAAAGAAAAAAAATAGCTGTACTGGCAGGTGTTTTTTGTTTTCTACTTTTGCATTTTTTGTCTAAGGCATTAATCATATTGAGGAAGCAGAGAGTTCCCTTAGAGTCTCAGGAAGTTTCAGATTATTTTAAAAGTTTTCCTTATTATTTCAATCAATTTTGTGCATAAATTAAACCTTCAAAATCCATAACAACTACATGATCATGTCTGTTTTAGCAGAAAATTTCGTGGCAACTGGAAGGAGTGGGGCTTCCTGATTGACTTTAAGGAAACAACTAGCCCTCCAGAAAACTTAAGAAACAGTCTCATGTTTTTCACAGTTCCCATGTTTACCATCTCTTTGAATTTTTTCTTTTGCTGTATAGTCTTTATTGTTGTTGTTGTTGTTGTTCAGTCATTCAGTTATGTCTGACTCAGACTTAGGAATAATATAATTGTGATATTACAAAATTATTCATTCTCTAGGTGCATTTAAAATTATAATGACCATTTTCATACCATCAATAGACATATGACTAAAGAGAAACTAAAGTAAAATTTCCCCTGTTTCATTTCAGTTTGCAAGGTGATTTTTTGTGATTACCTGAATCTGACAACATGAGACTTGATGTATTGTCCTTTTAAATTGGATTTTCTAAAAATATCATCTACCTGAGAAAAGAAAAGAAAAATATTAGCAGAATTGAATTTGATACCACAAAGAAAACCACATTACTTTAATCTGACTGGTTTAAAAAAAAAAAAAAGGACTTAAGGGGCAGCAAGGTGGTTCAGTAGATAGAACATCAGCCCTGGAGTCGGGAGGACCTGAATTCAAATCCAATCTCAGATGCTTACTAGCTGTGTGACTGTTGGCAAATCACTTAATCCTGATTGCCTCGCAAAAAGAAAAAAAAAGGACTTGAATAGAATGATGTTACAATTTTGAATGTTTATCTCAATATTGTTTATAACTGCCTTCAGAAAACACTTTGTAGACTAGGCAAGATCCTTCTTCCACAAACATCAATTTTATATAAGGTGAAGTGGAGCAAACATACAGCAAACTTGACCAAGAGTCAGAGATGGGTGATAACATTTGGTCTAGGCTGGTGTGGATACAGAGTAAATAGAATAATGAATACTTAAAAGTTTGGAACTCAGAGACAGGGTATCCTCACTGAAAGATCAATGTGAATAGTCCTACTCTTCAACCATTATCGTGTAACCCCAAAATTATTGACCACCTGGTCGTCACACAAAAAAAAAGAAAATATGGTACAACTAGGTGGTACATAGAGCACTGGGTCCGGAGTCAGGAAGATCTGAGGTCAAATACAGCCTCAGACACTTACTAATTGTGTGACCCTGAGCAAATCACTTAACCCTGTTTGCCTCAGTTTCCTTATCTCTAAAATAAGTTGGAGAAGAAAATGTTCTTGGTGGAACTTGACCGTCTCATTCCAGTGGTATAATGAGATTGCTCGGTTGTTTGTGATTTGTATTTACTGGGGCGTGTGTGCATTAAGTGCTTTCAAGAAAAGGAAAATAGTAATGGAGAGCTATGTAGAAAAACACAAATAGAATAAAACTCCAAAAACCATTTGTTTGTCTGCCCCATGGGATAATCCCATTGTGGGCTGAATTCTAGAGTAAATTGTTATTCCCCAAACCACAGCTTGTTCTTGAAATATGTGATCTTACCCTCTTGACTCTATCATCATTTACCTGTCCAACTGGATTTTGGGGAAATGACTGATCATGTGCCAGACAAACCTCAAATGAACCTATGGCTCAATATCTTTTTAGAATGAAGAAAGCCTGAGCCACAAAGTGGGTGGCCAAAGGGAAAGGGAGGAGATGAAGAGATCCAGAAGTGGGATCATTAATTCCTTAATAGCTAAGTTTTGTCTTTATTGTCTTTTACTAAATCTTTTGATGTCAGATTGTTCAGTTCCTTAGTTCCCTAAGGTTCTGTCATTGAAAATTTTCCCCACTTTCACCATTTTGTTCTTTTCCTCCTTCCTCCACCAAATTATAATTTTAGAGCTGGAAACTTAGAGAACTAGTGTAGTCTCCAACTTTACATATGAGGAAACCAAGATACAAAAAGGCTAAACAACTTGCCTAAAGTCATAATTAGTGATGGAGTCAAATGTATAGCACCATATATGAACTCCTGTGAGTACTATGTTGTGTTGTAATCCACTTCTTCTATCACTATACACGTCTTATTAATTCTTACCTATGTAGTTTTACTCCTACATACTTTTTTTTTTACTCCTACATACTTTTACTCTAGTTTTCCCTTCCTTTCTGTATATTCAAATTCTACCTGTCCTTCAAGATTAGTCTCAAGGAGGGCAGCTAGGTGGCACAGTGGATAGACCACCAGCCCTGGAGTAGGGAGGACCTGAGTTCAAATACGGCCTCAGACACTTGGCACTTACTAGCTGTGTGACCTTGGGCAAGTCACTTAACCCCATTGACTAGCCAAAAAAAAAAAAGATCAGTCTCAAGTCACATCTCCTCCATGGACCCTTCATTCCCTGACTACTACAATTTATAGTGACCTCTGCTTCTAATCAAGTTCTATAGCACTTAATAATTACAATCCATTTTGTATTTAAAGATATGCTGCCATACATTATCATTTAACTATTTCATTTGTATTTGTCTTGTCTTCCTATTTATATTACAAGCTCTCAGGATTCAAGACCATATCATATGCTGCATATAATACAGTGCTTTGCATCTTCTACAGTGCTTATCATCGTGCTATCTAGAAGGTTTTGGTTGCATTGATATCTATCTCCCTCAGGTTGATTCTAGGGTTAGAGGATTGAAGTATATAGGTGAGGTGAGATAGGGTAGCTATGTCTAGTTTAGGGTTATTCTGGTGTAGTTATGGATACTTAGAAGGCCAGCTGTGGGGTATGAACAATCCCAGTTTGTATTTTACCAACAATCCTTGCTTTTGTTTCTTGTTCCCCAATTTTGGGTTATTTTGGTCTTTGCTATACACTACTTTCCATCTATAGAATATGTGGACAGCTATAGTAAGTAAGTATATAATGTTTTGTTATGCTCTGTGACCTCTGGAACTAATTAAGGTTGTTGTGTTTGTCCTTTGTTCTCAAAGGGAACCATGACATCAGGGAGGTGATGACATGATTTGCAATTAACTTTGATTTGAGTAAGGGAAGGCTGTGCAAGGTCACTGGCCTCACTTTTGCCTCCAGTGGCCAGATATTCATCAGGACCATATGAGATGGCCCAGGATGCAATGGGAGACCCTGGCCCTGTTAAGCCAAGGTCTTTTCAGGTTCTCACTTTGAGTGAGTGAATAGGCCTCTTTAAGAAGTGAGTCAAGGGATGATCCCTTTAATAAAATAAATAAATAAATAAAATAAAATAAAACAGGGAGGGGAAGACCCTCAGGGTTCCTGGCCAAAAGAGAAACAGTTGCTATTTACATTCACTCTGAGCCAAGAGAGCCCCAAAATAGCCATTAAGTGGTACTTGGTCAGGGACCTATTGTCCAAACTATGAGCTCAAGTGAATTGGGTTTAAGGCTTAGTCTTTGAGAAAGAAATCTAGCCAGTAAACCCCAAAGAGGGAGAGGGAAAGGGGGGAGGGAAGGAAGGAGAGAAAGGGGGAGGGGAAAGAGGAAGGGGAGGGAGAGAAGGAGAGGGAACAAGGAGCTGAGTTACTTAACTGGAACGGACCTGCTGGGTCAGGCAGCTTGGACTACTCACAGGTTGTGTTTGTCCTTTGTTCTTGAAGATGACCATGATATCAAGGTGGTGATGACGTGAATTGCAATTGACCTTGATTTGAGTGAGTGGGGGCTGTACGAGGTCACCAGCCTCACTTTTGCCTCCAGAGCCATCCAGAACTAATTAAAACACTTACATGTCTATAAAATTCACCTTCCATTCACGGTCTTCCTAACTTTGCTCCTAACTTGGGCCTAGACAAGATTATCTTTAGTGCTCTAAAATCCTCCGAACTAACATAGAATCTAGGAATAGAAGGTGAATTATATATGTATGTAGTGTCTTATGGTATGCTTGTCTTTATGGTATGCACAACAAACCAGTGATTCTTATTTTGGCTTTCTCCTAATTGGGAATTAACATTTTTAATGCCCCTTGGACATCGACAAATTCCCCACCCCACTCCTGTGGTACCAGTGATCATAATTGATCGTTTTTTTTTTTAGGCAATTGGAGTTAAGTGACTTGGCCAGGGTCACACGGCTAGTAAGTGTCAAGTGTTTGGTCTGAGGTTAGATATGAACTCAGGTCCTCCTGACTTCAGGACCGTTGCTCTATCCACTGTGCCACCTAGCTGCCCCAATTGATCACATTTTCATAGTCAAAATGTCATAATTTTACTTATCAGTTTCTTCTAAACGTGTTTTTGAAATGATTTACCTACTCCACCTTATTCTGTCCCCAACTGTCTTCACTGTCTGATCATTTTCCCTTTAGAATTTTCTGAAGAAACATTTGTAAGCCTTACAGATATGATCCACCTATTCACCCACTTCCTTTGTTAGTTACTGTATGTAATTATGTTTCAGGGCTTAACGCGGGCCCAGCACAATGCTGTACATTACACTTGATGATGGCTACTAGTCTCAATGATTTTGCTCTTTCTATATATTCTAGAAGCAAATGGGACACATAAGCTGATGTGGAAAAATGTATTTGGTATAGTGGATCAAGTGTATTTAATGTAGTTCATTCTTTAATTAAAAAAATAAATTGCATTAACTTTTTTCACTTTAACATAATCTATATTTTCCCATGTATCACCCCCAACCCCAAGAGCAAACCTTATTAAAAAGAATAAAAAAGAGGGGAAACAAAATTCAGTAAAACTAATCAACACCTCACAAAAGTCTGACAATACATTGGGTATTCTATACTCATTCCCATCACTGCCTCTGCAAAGAAGTGGTGGGAGGTACCTTTTTTTTTTTTTTTTGCTAGCACAGTGCCAGGACTGAAAGAATTTCATAAATGCTAGTTCATTGATTGACTTTTGGACCAAGCTGGCCATAATAGTTTTAAAGCATTCAGTTACATTTATTTTTTGTTATTCCTTCCATTTACATTGTTATAGTTATTGTATGCAGTTTTATTTTCTTGTTCTTCTTGCTACATCTTGCAGCAGTAGCTCATGTCTGTCCATATTTCTCTGTCTTCTTCATGTTTATCATCATAGTAATATCCATTACACATTCATGCACCACAACATATCTAATCATTACTCAGTCAGTGGACCTCCGTGATTCTTGTTTTGTTTCCATTTTTTTGCTACTTTGAAAAGAGTCATTATAAATATTTTGTTGCTTATGGAATCTTTGTTTTTGTCCTTAATGTCCGTGGCATATATTATATGCCTAGCAATAGAATCTCTTTGATCAAGAAATATGGGCATTTTAATTACTCTCTTAGCACCATTTCAAATTGCTTTACATATTTGGTTTAGCTAATTCATAACTCCACCAATGATGCATTAATGCCCTTCTTTCTGTATACCCCTTCAACATTGTCTAGTTCAATCTTTTAACATCTTTGTCAGTTTGCTGGATGTGAGGTGAACACTGAGTTGTTTTGAATTGAAACTTTTATTATTAGTGGTTCTGAGCATTCTGTCATGTGTTTGTTAATAGCTTGCAATTATTTTGAGAACAGTTTGTTTATATACTTTGACACAACTATTGGGAATGGATTTTGGTTTTATACAAGATGTACCAAACGCCTTAATTAAACTTTAATAGCTTAAAATTATTAAGCTTTAGTAGCTTAAACCTGAAATAAGACTTTTGGGACACTTGGTATTTTTCTGTTGCCTATCAAAGTATTTGGCAAAATAAAATTTCTTTTTCATTAGTTATCTTTACCTTTCTTATCCTAGTATCATCACTTGCTTATGCAAAACCTTTTAAGTTTCATATAATTCAAGTTGAAATTAGGGGAGCTAAGTCACACATTGGATACTGGGCCTGAAGTCAGGAAGAGTCATGTTTCTGAGTTGAATATGGCTTCAGACATTTAGCTGTGTGACGCTAGGTAAGTCAGTTAGCCCTGTTTGCCTCAGTTCCTCAGTTCCTCATCTGTAAAATGAGTTGGAGAAGGAAATGGTAAACCATTCCAGTATCATTGCTAAGAAAACTCCAGATGGGGACATGAAGAGTTAGGCATGACTGAAACAACTAAACAACAACAACAATTGAAATTGTGTATATCTTTTGTGGTTGCCTATATCCCTTGTTTGATCAAGAATTCATCCCCCTCACCCAGTCATATCTGTAAAAGGAATCCGATCTGGTTTTAATATTTTATGGTAAAATTTTAAGTTATGTATTAATTTTTAGTTACTGTGGCATATGCTGTAAGATAATGGTCTAAAACTGAAGTTCACTGTATGACTCTGGGCAAGTCACTTAACCCCAATTGCCTAGCAAAAAGCAAAAAGAAAATAAAAATAAAACTAAAATTCATTCTTAGTAAATTGTAGTTGGTGATGAAGTTTATTAAAGGTTCAATATAACTGTCTTCAGATGTCTCTAGTAACTTTTTATTGCTGTGTATTTACATAAATTGTTTTCCTGCTGGCTGCTGAATTCTCTAAGATTGATATAATTTCTTTCTCTAGTTGTCCTTTTCTAATTATCTCAGACAGATTTACTCACTGCTAACCTTTCCCTCCAACAGAATTCTTCCCAACAGCATTCTTCGGTATGGAATGATTCTGGCAGAAGGTCAACAAAAGTCCAGCTTACCTGATTGGTGATCCTTGCTTTAATTTCAGAGTGGGCTGCCTCCAATTCAACCCTAGGTATCCTGAAGGAGGTTTGGTAGTAATGTGGCTTCCGATCTGGAAAGGAAAGCAAGGCAAGAGGGGTTTATAGTCTATAGCTGGGTTTTGAGAATAGGAAGAAATATGTCAAGTGGAAAGGTAGCTGAGAAAAATGTCGTATAGTTATATCCCCTCTAACTATTACTACTACTACTACTACCACTACTACTACTACTACTACTACTACTACTACTACTACTACTACTAC